CGCTGGAGCAGTCTGTTCCTGAAGGACTGCAGCACCCCGTGGAAGGGACCCACGCTGGAGCAGTTCATGAAGGACTGCAGCCTGTGGGAAGGACTCACGTTGGAGAATTTCGTGGAGGGCTGTTTCCCGTGGGAGGGACCCAACGCTGGAGCAGAGGAAGAGTGTGAGGAGGAAGGAGCAGCAGAGAGACTGTGTGATGAACTGACCGCAACCCCCATTCCCCATCTCCCTGCACCGCTGAGAGAGGAGGAGGTAGAGAAAGTCGGGAGTGCAGTTGAGCCTGGGAAGAAGGGAGGGGTGGGGGGAAGGTGTTTTAAGATTTAGTTTTTATTTCTGATTACCCTACCCTGATTTGATTGGCAATACATTAAATTAATTTCCCCAAGTCGAGTCTGTTTTGCCCATGATGGTAATTGCTGAGTGATCTCCCTGTCCTTATCTTGACCCACGAGCTTTTCATTGCATTTTCTCTCCCCTGTCCAGTTGAGGAGGGGAGTGATAGAGCGGCTTTGTGGACACCTGGTGTCCAGCCAAGGTCAACCCACCACAGCTATCTATCACAAACTTACTTGTTTTACAGTATTTTTTCCCCTTTGGTTGTGCTCTGATTAGCCTTTGAATTCTTCCAATTGTAGAAGTGAGCAGTAATTGCCAAAATGACGCTGTCTGTAGCTGCAGAATATCACTTTCTGCAGTTGTTGCCAGTCAGGGAGAGCTTTTACAGTAATTTCAAACAGCTCTTTTTTATGATGATGTAAATAAACTAAGAGCGAGAACTCAATTGTACATCAAAGTGTCTACTTTCCAGAATCCTTAGTGTAATGGGGCTGACCAGTGTTGTGCTAATAGAACATTTCTGTTTGTAAGGAACTTTTACAGTCTTCTAAATGTTTTATGTCCCTTAACACTTCTAATGTAGCAAATCAGGAGGCTGTCTGATCCAGTTTTAATATAATTAATTATTGACCTCAAAGGTACTCTTATGCATTAGAGGAGAGAATAGGCTTGTGCTAACTTTGCTTCAGAACAATAGTGCTCTTTTAAAAAAAGACAACAGCATGTTTTCTTTGCTTCCGATTCTTCATCGGTAAAATGAAGCTTGTATTATTCTGTTTGCCTTACACTAGTCCCACAAAGGATAGGAAGTAGTCAGATTGCTGGGTATGATACACACATTTAAAATAAAGAAGAATGTTAGCAGTAAAAATGTGTAACTGATAGCTATTCCAGGGAAAAAAAAAATCTTTGAGAATGTTGGTTGAAAAGGACCAAAAAAAAAAGCGAATATTGATAGTCTTTTGATGTACTTGGTGAAATAAATATAGAAAAGCAAAGTAGTGTTGCACCCAAATGGCAAAATGCTGGGCAGTTATTTTCATGTAACATACTGGCTTTATTGCCATAAATTGGTACAGCTGAGAGCAAAATTCATTGCTCTGCAGCGAATGTTGATATTTTGCTAACCAAGTGTTTAAAGACTTTTGGGAAGAACTGATCCTTATTTCAAAGCTATTCTGGATTCCTTGCCCTTTATTTTGTTCTAGGGTATTTTACCCTATTTATTTAAGTATCTAGGGTATTTCCCAGTAGGTTTACTCAAGTAGCTATGAAACAGAAAATGTTTTCCAGAGCCCTTTCTCTGTGTAAATATGCACCTTCCATATCTACAGCTGAAGTCATTCCCCGAGTGAGGCAAGAGGATGATTTGGGTGGAATCCCCAGCAGAAACTGTGGGGTCTAGCTTTGAGCAGAGATGAGAGTAGATGACCTTCTGTAGGTTGTCCCTAAAGTTGGTTGTTTGAGAGCAACGCGTACTGCATTTCATTAGCAAGGGATTGGCAACTATGGCCTGAGCTGCTTTTTCCCCTTGCCTCCCTTATGGCGATAATGCTAGTTTCTGGGCTGCGCAGTTACTGTGATTCTTTTGTTGCCTACTCCTTTATTTTACAATTAATATCCTTGTCATTATACAGGTGCATTTTAAATCTCTGCAACCCTGGAAGTGAATCATTCTTCAGTAGGCTTGCGTGAATGGAGTTAGCAGAGTGCCAGCAAACTGCTCAGCAGTGGTCTTACTTGCCTGGGTGAACATGGTTCTTGATTTCCCGTTGGGAAATAGCAATAAAAGGGAGTACTTGCTGAGAAGCACCCAACTACTTGTAGTTGTGGAAACCCTGACTGATCATACAGTATTAAAAAAATTCGCAGCTTACAGAGCACTTTCAGGACTAGGTTAAGAAGGTGAGACTGCTGATTCCTCGCAATTATGCCAGTGGCCATAGCCATGGAATTAGTTCGTAAGGTACTGAGTATTTATCGGCTTAAGCGCAAACCTGTAATCTATATCACATTCGTGGACCAAGCAGTATTGACTAGTGGGACCGTTGAAGTGACTGATACTAACCTGATGCAGTTTCTTGTGTCTAAAATCTCATGACCTTCCAAGTAGACAGAAACTTAGGGCGTTTTGAGGAGTGCTGCTTCCTAGTGCACTGTTGTAATCATTCTCTCAAGCTGAGCGGTTGCATTAACCTTATAAATAGTGACTAATGTCCTTGTACTGTATATCATAACAGAAAATGATATTAGGAGAATTGTGAATGAAATACTAAAACATTTGCTGAAACAAAGCCAACTTTGAGATCAGCTCAGCGTTATGACTCACTCAGTAAGCTAAAGCTCTTTAAACAGACATAAATGTTATCTATTCAATGTCTGACTTCAGTTAGAAACTACAAAAAAATTCTACTTTCCAACAGTAGCTTACAATCTATGAATTGCAGACAAGACAAGATAGTATTTTTGATTGATGTAATGTACTGGTCTTTGGGTTTTTTTGTGTTTTTCATTATTATTCACTTCCATTTTTTTTTAAAGAGAAGCAAAAGCATTCTGAAACTTGAATAGCCACAGTAGGGTAGTCACACAAGCTCTATGCTGAAAGTGTATCCTTAGGAAACCGTGTTCTGAGGATGATTGTCTAGACTTCTCAATTTTATCTTACTTTGCTTTCTTGTATTCTGTCACAATTGTTATTTTTCAGAATTTGAGAAAGGGTTAATGGAAAGAAAGTGGAACAAAAAGTACCAGAAGCCAACCTAAAAATTCTGAAATAACTTTTGAGGGATGCATTTGAAATGATCTAAATCTAATGCTTCTATGGAATATTAAAAACCTGAATCAAAAGATCATTTTCCGTTAAACATGGAAGGGTACTTAGAGGTGCTATAAGGGTACAAGCTCTCTACCCTAATAGTATTTTTTTGGGGAATGCCCCGCATCCATGATCTCAGCAGGTTTGTGGAACAGACTTTACAGCATCTCTTTGGGTAACTGCATCTCTCATATTTTTTTGGGTAATCTCATCTCTTATTTTGCAGTTCTTCTGTAGGAGAATAAAAGCTCTGTGTGATTGCTTTGGTAGCTTTGCTTTAGTTGAACTTTTCATTTATGTGGCCATGCTAGAAGGATGGCAAGCATAAGAAATACAGGAAGGAAGCATAAGGTATTGTAGCTTGTATGTTTCTTTCTGTTGTAACAAGAAGAAAAAGTTTTATTTGTGCATTAGGATCCAAAAGCTTGTATTTTTTCTGTATGGATTTTTCTTCTTTTAGAATTCCCTGATTCTTAGCTTTGAAAGGAACTTTAAAGATATCTGAGCTAATATTTTTATTACTGTGCAGAAAGAATGATTTTGGCAGCCCAAATAAAATGCATACTCATTTTTCTCAGGAAACTTTTTGCACCCAGTTATGGAGAGATGAACTATGTCTCAATGAAATTAGTGTATTTTGATCTGAACTCTGTTTAATAGGAGCTAATTCAATATCTAGTGGCAGGGAGGTGACATGGCCATTGTATCTTGGGTGTATAATCTATATGGGTATAATGCACTTTATGTAATATACTTATGCATGTGATGGTAGGATGAAATATTAGTGTTCCATACTTTATGTAGGACTCATCTGAAAGACTGTTTATAAAGAACAGCAGGCATTTTCTAGCTATATGTGGTATGAGCAGCGAAACTTCTGTATGTACAGAAAGTATGATGTGGTGTTCTCATGTAAAAATGGTGGGATTTTTATAAAAATCAGACATAATGGAATTAGAGTCTCCTAAGAGATGTTTCCTGTGACTGGAAAACAGAACAACAGTAAATGACTAATTAAGAGGTAGTTCAATTACTGCTTGTGCTCGTTGAAGGCTGGGAACTACCATGTTAGGTTTCAGGTTGTCCTCTGGTTTACCATACTACATGGCTACCGCTTCCAAGGGGGTCATCTCAAACTTCTTCACCCTCATTTTGTGCTTATAATGGTTTTTACTAGATCAAAATATCGTCACCTCCCAAAGAAGTTCCTCTGGGAGCACTTTTTGCTTTAGTCATTTGTGCTTCTTACTTTCTCAGCGTTCATTAGTCCTTACTTGGGTAGCATTCCTATTCACTAAGAAAGCAATCAGAAGTGAGTGTACATTTCAAAACCTTATTTTCACTATGCTCTATACAATTTCTTGAATGCAACAGGTCTTCTCGTGGGAACATTAGATGCGGTGTTGGATTCTACATCGAAAGTCGCCCCTTTTCGCATCCTGCATCAGACACCAGACTCTCAAGTCTACTGGTCCATTGCATGCGGTACGTACTATGATTTAGATGCTAACTGAGTTTATAAAGTGAAACATGAGGGTAGGGTACAAAGTGCGGGATCCGCTTTTGGGTTAATCCTCTCGCTTCATTATTCATTCCCGTGACCTCTAAATGTTTAAAATTATTTGCAAACCTGAGATTGACAGTAGTGTGTGGTTCCAGTTTTTCAGAACGTATCTATGGACTTCATATTACAACTTCCGATTGCCTGCTTTCTGCAGTAGTCCATCAGGTCCTAAAGCCTTGGTGCTCTCTTAGAATGACATAGGCACAATCTTTTCTTCTGTAAGCTGCAAGTGTAACTTGGCACAGTTCGGGATGATAGGGATAAGTTGACCCTTGGGCGTACTAAGTGTGCTGTAGGTAGGAATAACAGGAGCTGCTTATCCTAATGTTTTTTTCTACTTTATCTTTGCTTGTTAAAATGAGCCACATTCCCAGTCATGATCAGAGCTGAATTATTCCTCATATCTGTTGCTCTTGTAGTGTAAGAAGTTTTCTTTCTCATGTTGCGTTATTAATCAGTAGGAAATGGAAAAGAAAATTGACCTTGAGAATAGAGTATGTGATTTTTACTAGAGCATGCTTTTTGATAGCGTGCATGGGTTTATTTTGTTGTGTTTTTTTTTTTTAATTTATTTTAAGTTTTGTAGCTTCTCCTGAAAATAAAGTCTTAATTCCTTTATACCGGATGCTTAACTACTGGGTGTCCAAAGAGATCTCCATTCCAAAAGTTGACAGGACTCTTTTATTCTTTACGTGCATCATTGGTTTTTCTTCTGAGGCATGGTCTTGTCTTTATATTGAAATTAATTAATATTGTCATGTGGTCTAATGCTAAAAAGTCACTGTTGTGGAGTTAATCTATTTCTTAGGCTTATTGAAAACTCTGAAAACATCTGTAATTACAGTGAAAAAGAACCATAGGTTTTAGTCCATTTTTCCAGGCTTTAATTTTTTGTCATTAGTAGTGTTCTTTAAAGAAACAAGGCTCCATCTAGACTTCTTTGGGCTCTAGGCCTTCCTTTTAGTTGCCTGTGGTAAAAGACGAGCTTTGCAGGAAATCTGTCATTCTGCAAACACTTACATACATGAGTAATTCCACTAGTAAGTGCTGTGCTGTTTTTACATTGGATTTTGCTGTTATCACTGTATTATGAATCTTCATTGCTTCACCTTAAATGAAAAATTGTGCCCCTTGCTGTCTTTTCTATACAGTTAGCTACTTTCAAAATTACAGATTTGTTCTTTTAGATGTTTAGCTCATAGTTTACACATTTCATGCTGTAATGCTAATCTGCTCCTTTTCATGTTCTGCAAGGACTTCTCTGAAGGGCAGTAGTCAGTGAGAGAACTGTTTAATAACAATTTAATGTAATTCATTACATGTCACATTAAAAGGGCAGCCTTATAAAGTTGATAGAATTTGAACAGTTTGTGAATTGGCAGTAAATAAAATTTTAGGACTACTTCTGAAGAAGTCAGAACTGATGGTGACAGGCAAAAAGGTACTTTGATAAGTATGTTGGAAATACACTGGGGAATTCGAATGCCGTCAGGTCAGCCCTTGCAAAAATATGAAGGGTATTCTTCACCTTAGGACTGAATTTATATCAATTCTGTGCTGCGTAAGTATGCTTTACAACAAAAGGCTACATAATGTAGTTGTACTTTGTGTTGGAAAACAGATTGTTCCTTCTGTGAAGTGAAGAAATTGAAGAGTTTTGTTCCTGCTGTTACATAAGGATTTGAAACAGTGCTCCTAAATAATTTAAATATTTATTAAAAAGTTTCATCTTTACTGTGTTACATCTGTGCCTCTGATTCACACTGTGACTCAAATAATTAGTCTATGTATGTAGTCTGAGAAAAATAATTAGTTTGTGACTTAATTGCTGTGTTAATTACTCTTCATATACTTTTTAAAATGTTGCAAATCCACCCTGTGTAGTGCAGTCTAACTATTTAACCATATTTAGAACAATTTCTATTCATTCCCAAGGCAACTTTAATTCTGTGGAGTCCATTGAAAGTTGTTTAATTAGTCTTTACAAAGTAAATTGAGAAAAAAGAAATTGTTAAAAGTGTATTCTTGCTTAGGGGTATTCATAGTATGTGATTACACTGACTGATTTTATTTGTGAGCATTCCCGTGGAGGATGAAACTGCCAATTAATTTATATTCTAGAACACCTTTATTCAAACCTATGTAAATTCTTCCCCTCTCTTTACCTCTCCCTG